TCAAATTCCCACCATGCTTTTCAGATTTTTATTAGAAAAAAGTGTTTTCCTTCCACTTTACAATTATGCCCTACCTTCTGTTGGACGTTCGAATTAAATCCCAATAAAATCTGTTTAAGTTTGTGGTTGCAATGACAAAATATGAAAGGTTCAAGGGGTATGAATATTTTTTTCTGTTTTATAGTTGAGATTTAACCAGCCACACAACTTTAGCTGAATTTTACATGTACCAAGACAGAAAACAAAACCTGTGCAGAGTATCACTGTTTTTCTTATATAGCTATGGAGTCATTGGCAACAACAGGGAGTTTGTTTTTTGACAAACACATTTAAAAGACAGAAAAAGTTATAGTTTATCATGATAAACCATACTGTACAGAAATCTACGTTATTTAAGAGAACAAGACTGTGGAGCCAGAAAGATTCATGCCTGTTGAGAGCAGCTGTCAAATTTTCCAGAAGGATTTGAAGGAAAAATTCCCTCAGCAAAAGACATCAAACCCAGTCTTTCAAAGATTAAAACAAAATACAGATAAACATAACATGGCAACTTCAAATATTTTATGAAAAATGGGACATGTGTTTCAAGTCTCTTGAATTATTTCTTTTTTATCCTATCGTCAAAAACAAATGTTTATTTGTGTTGAAAAGCAGCCATGCTGCCAGTGTGCTCCTCTGCCTCACAGTTTATTCATTATTTAATACTTTCCCTACTTTAAACAATGGAAACTAAACTTCTAATTCTTCTTTTTTTAATTCCACAGACACCAAAACAAACACAAAAGCCAGAGATTTTAATAAAATATGAAAATTTTAAGGTGGATTGCAAAAACTAATTTTCTGTTCTTTCTTAGATTTTAGCCAGGGATGTTTTTTCTGACCTTTAATGTTTGTTTTATAACGGCTTCTCTTTTTCTTTTGTGCTTTAAGCATTTTAAAAGCATCTGAGGACCTAAACAGACTTGGAGTCCCTTGGACATTATGGATTAAAAACTAGACAGTCACGTTCACTCAGATATACAATGTTTGGGTTTTGCTTTGAATAGCTTTCAATAGAATTACATGGTGTGACAAATTGCAACAATGTCACCACTATTTCAATTAGCTTTTCTTAAAGGCTTTCCAATTAAATATATTTGAAGTGTTACAGGAAAATAAAAAAAAAACACAAAAATTTTAACTACATTTTTAAAGGAATAATTCACATATTGTTTCAGTCAGTATAAACCCATTGCATGTTATTGTTTTAATCGCAAATGCTTGTGAATGCGCAGCACTGGATAGCAAAACAAAAAACTTTCATGGACCACCGTGTGATCAGCACTGAGAAGAACCTTAAACAAAATACCTAATTTAAACAGCTTTTCTTTTCAGGTATTTTGATGAATAAACTATTTGAGGTGATACATTCCCAGACCCGTATTCATTTCAGATTAAGTCTTGGGATGGAGCCATTAAAAAAAAAGTTCTATATCCGCATAGTTATTTACTTTATTGGCTTTCCATGACTCTGGAGGGGGAATAAAGCTGGTGGATAATTGCAATTTCTTTTGCACAGGATGTGCTATTTTCTCAGGTGTAGAAAAAGACTCACTTGTTTGTGAAAATGATGGTGACCCCTTCTCAGAGGGTCTCTAAGCCTCATGAACAATGAATCTTCCATCCATCCATCCATCCATTCATCCATCCATCCATTCATCCATCCATCCATCCATCCATCCATCCATCCATCCATCCATCCATCCATCCATTGTCTTGCATCTGTCCAAGATTGGGTCACAGGGGTAACAGGTCCATGAGGTACACCCAGACTCAACCACCTAAACTGAGTCCTTTTGATGTCAATCTCCAACATCCGTATGGCCATAGGTGAGGGTCAGAATGTAGATAGGCTGGTAAGCTGAGAACTTGCTCTTCAGCAAAGGCTGACCCTAAATCCACCATTTTCTAGTTAACAACTATAAACTCAGAATTAGTAAAGTTGACTATAATCCTGGCACCTTTACACTTGACTGTGCAGAAGTTGAAGCTGAAGATTATGGCCTAAGCACACAAGCAGAACAACATTATCTGCCGAAAGGAAAGATGAGACCCTCACACACAGGAGTTGATATTGGTGCTGTTAACTTAAAATCCATTCTACCTATACCTCTCCACAGAGTTTACAGTAGCAATCCATGGCTTTTTAACCATAACCCCTAAAAAAAACTATCTGATACTTTTTTAGTCTGGACTCCTATGCTAACATTAACTATATAAGCAGCTGGGCTTTCAGCCCCTTACAATGGAAATACAGACAAAAACCAGCCGAGGTTGTTATAAGATTCTGGGAAGGAAAGTTCCAGAAAAAATGTTCTCTGGAACTTACCACCCAAAAAAAAAAACCTTAATAAACACAAAACACTACCTCTAAACTGTTGGGATTTTTAGGCATTCTCATCCCTGAGAACTAATAAGCATCCTTACTCCTGCACCATGTTGTTTAGAAAGACTGTCAATAAAATCAGCTAGCGAAGGCAGACGGTGCAGAAATTTAACTGGGGAAAGACTTTTTTTTTTATTTTCACATTTTGAATATTGACTGGAAGGTATTTACCACAACTATTATTTTTTGGATTTTAGAGGTTAGGATTAAAGATATGCCTGATTCATCACAACCCAAAAGCAAACCAATTATCTCCATTTCAGACTTTCAGAAGTGTCATTATTATCCTGTGTGATGACATTCTTATGCAGAAAGATGCGAGTACTAACACATGTAACCTTTAAAGAAGGGCTTTTAAGAAGTTTTGTCATGCCTCATACTTTTCAAGCAGTTGCATTTTGTGGGAGATACACAGATACACTTTTCATTAAGAATAAACAGTTATGTGCATCATTATTTTTTATTTTTATTCTTTTCGCAAATACCTCAGCTACACTGTATGAAAGTACAAAATGGAAATTTCTACAACTGTACAGAAAGTATTTTGCCATTCAGGAATATATTGCAGTATGCCTCTTGTTAGCAAAGAACAAAAGATAAAGTAGCTCATGGGGAACTGAATAAGTCATCCAGCTGTGAGTGAAAGAGAATGAAAACACACCGGGAGTCTGTTCCTCCAAGGCTACTGCCAGAGAGTTGTGGAAAGCAAGTTTGAACCACTTGGCCAGTTCTTTGTTCACAAAACTAATAGTGTGTTGCTTTCACAGACAACGAATGTGTCATCCTGCCTCTGGTCTCCTTTCTCTTCCAGTCTGCTGCAGCACACGACTGACCTTCAATAAATATGCTGCTAACGTCACAAAGCAGAAGTAAAGGACATGAGGCTATATTAGGTCTTTGTTGCTGGCCTTAATCCTACACAGGAACGGTTTTTGTCTTATTCAGGTGTTTTCTCTTTTTTCATATCCAACAGAAAAGAAAGAAAAATAACTGCCATAGTATTAAAATTAAAATTTTTTTGTAAAACTAAAGATAAAAAGAAATAGCCTCTTTAACCGTTTTAATGGTTTTACATATTTTTCTTTGCAAAATAGCTCTGGTGCACTCAAATTCGATGGGGCACATCTGTGAACAGTAATTTGCAGCAAAAAAACACAGCGGGATGTTCCCTTTCCCCCGTGCTTCTGAGTTGGGGCTGGTGTTTAGATTGAAGATTGGCCCCTTTCTTGATGTCATTATAAGAAAAAACCCTTTTTGTTTCAGCAAAAGGGACTTGTCTTCTTTTGTTCTGAGCAACTTTTCCAGCTATTGTCAGTCATTTTACTGTGAAAAATAACACTCTCTTATCATCTTCTGCCAATATCTATCTTAGGTCTCTTGTTTTTGTTTTAGTTGATTCACACCTTTGGCATCATAAAATTTTTATCCCATCTTCTTTGGGCTTTCCCAAATAGTGCAAAGTTGTTGTAATCTTTGTGTGTGTACTGCTAAATTTGAAGAAAGTTTCTCAAACATTCTGTCATTATTTTGCCATTTTGCGAAATAGAAATTTTGATAATCCTAACTGACACAAAACAGGAAATGTTTAGTCTAATTTCATGTCAGATATTGAGAAAAAATAGCTTATATGTATCTTTATTTAGTGTATGAAAATATCTGGTTGCAACTGTACCCTGGGGCATGTTCCCAGTAAAATTTGTCTGACAGTACCTATGGTGTGGAACGGGCCTTAATAATAGGTTTGTTATTCCACATTCTCAAAAACGGTTACAAAATTGTTCTGTACCTTCTTGAAAATGCAAGGACAACACTGAAGTGCTCTCTATATTCAATGAGAAAGCAATGTTCTCAAAAATGTCTTCCAACAACTCAATTCAGTTAATCAGATAATTGCACTGTAAAATACAAACTGTTCCTGTTAACAAGGTTAGTGACAAACAATCTTGATCATAGCCAGATATAACTGAACTTATTGCAGTGACAAACTACACGCATGTCAGAATCTGCAGGTGACAGCCAAAAGTTATGATGTGCAAAAGAATATGTTCATAGTTCCTGGAGAGTTGAGAAACACTTTTGAGTGGCCAAGAGGTGTTTTTGACCATCTTAAAAACGGTGCCTTTCTTCTTCATCATGGCTAGAAACAAAATAAGAAATTCAGGATAATCTGCTATTTCCACATTCTGCAGCTTCCTAATATCTTTTACTGCTTCAATGGAGTCACAGTGGAAATCACAGTGTAAGTTAGCATAACAGATGTTAACATTAACATATTAGCTAATGCTCTTGTAATACTTAGCATCAACATCTATGTTCACTGCTGTTATCTAAAATGCTGTTAGCTACTGTTAGCATATTAGTGCATAATGTTAGCACATTAAGTTATCTATTATCCATCTATCCATCTGTCCATCCACCTATTTTCTATACCAGCTTGTGGCTGGCTGGTGCCTATCACCGGCGGTCATTGGGTGGGAGGTGCAGTCCATCTAATACTAGCACTTACCTAATACTAGCACATTAATAATGAAAGCTTCTCCGGGGATTCAATAGGATTTAAATGTTTAAACTGGGCGGCACGGTGGCGCAGTTGGTAGCACTGTTGCCTTGCAACAAGAAGGTCCTGGGTTCGACTTCTGGCTGGGGGTCTTTCTGCATGGACTTTGCATGTTCTCCCCGTGCATGTGTGGGTTCTCACCGGGTACTTAGGTTTCCTCTGATAGAAACGTGACTGTTGGGTAAATTGGTCCTCTAAATTGCCCTTAGGTATGAATGAGTGTGTGCATGGTTGCTTGTCCTGTTTGTCTCTGTGTTGCCCTGCGATGGACTGGCGACCAGTCCAAGGTGTACCCCGCCTGTCGCCTGTAGACTGCTGGAGATAGGCACCAGATCCCCGTGACTCACTATGGAATAAGTAGTATAGAAGATGAATGAATGTTTAAACTTACACTGCTTGAACAGCATTTTAACACATTTTTTTTTCTCTCCTGATGTTTCCTCTGATTTGTACAATTCAACATTTGCTTCTACTTCATTTCAGCTCCCTCAGCAAAACAGTTCACCCTTTCAGCTTGCTGCAATTTTTTTCTGGTTGAGTGCTATCAGTCTTCCTATGATACTTGTAAAAGTTTTCCTATTTGGTCAAAAAAGTATTTTTAAATCCAACGAGAGTCACATGACAAGCCGTAAAAACTCTCCATCTTTTCATCTCCATCTTAAATGTTAAAGCTTTCTTTTCTGCACCTTTTTCTTCCCATAACTCTAGTTTTAATTATTATTTATTCTTAAAAAATAAATTGATCATTATCACTACAGCACATCCTTTTACCTTGAAGGTTACGTGGTTTTTATGTATTCTATCTCTAAAGCATATATCTGACTGGTCTACAGCTCGGAGGCGTGCTCTGATGAAACAGATGCTTCGCAGATGTCAAGGTTAACACGTGCATGGAGGAATTCACTATTTGTTTAACAAGCTGTTGAGAACATGCCTCAGAGCTGCTGCCTTTGGAAGTCTCTGTCTGCGTATTATACTGTAGACTTTAAATCCTTGCAGTCAGAGCCCTGTAGTTTCTTTGGGTTTCAAGACTGAATTCAATGAGAAGTGTCATGAGGAAACAGTGACAAAGTACACAGGATCAAGAACCGACTCTTGATGCTCTTGAGTTCAGATTGAAGGCAGCTGCCAGCCACGAAGAAGATAATTTCTCAAGATAAAGTTAAAGAGGAAGCAGGAGGGGCGCCGCCAGAGATACTGGGCCCCATGAAAGGAAATCTTGCTGGGCCCCCCATAGTCAGCCACCAGGCCAGCGGAAAATTTTGATACTGTTTTACATAAAACTATGCATTTGGCAGACAGTTGCTGCTGCTCTTGATGTGTCTGTTTGGAACACCCGTCATTTTAGAAGAGCAGTTTGCTTGTTTGCCTGCATTGATAAATTAACTAAAACAACAGTGAAATGTATAAATCCAGAGTTTTCTTCAGAAATATGAGAAGAAACGTGAGCTAGTTTATAAACTATGGAAAAAGTTAGGAATAGACAACAGGTTAATGATCCAGAACTTACTATTAAATGAACCACTAACAGACCCTCCTTGGCTGTGAAAGAATTGGGTGACTGTGAAAAGTTGTTTGCGACTTTCTGATGGATGACTAAACCATTTCTCGTTAACAGTGAGATGTGTGTGTAAACTTACCAATACATTGTAAATAAAATATACATGTAATTGTAAGTTTATTACTGAGTGTCATATTATTCCATCAGTATTACAATTGTATTTGGGGTCTTTCTGGGCCCCTAGAATCCTTCTCCTTATTCTCCCCTTTCCGCCGCCCCTGGGGAGCAGTACTTACTTTTGGGGCCGATAAAAAAGACAAACCTCTTCTTTTTACAGTTAACATGCTGGAGAGAAGCAAGAAAGGGCAGTAAAGGAAAAGTAGATTACTTGCCGTAAAATGTCAGAAAACTACACTACTGATCAAAAGTTTTAGAATGCCTTTCTTATTTATTGGTTTTCTTACATTGTACAAAGATCCCCACTGAAGACATCAAAACTGTGAATGAACACATATGGAATTATGTAGCAGTGTAAAATAACTATGAATATGGTTTTTATTTTAAATTCCTAAAAGTAGCCACTCTTTACTGTGATGACTGAAATATTAACCTTTGGCCGTCTCTCAGTGAGCCTCTGGGAAGTTCTTTTAAGACTCTTTTAAAAAACCATTTTAGGTGACCACTACATGAAGTTTGTGGAGAGCAAAGCATTAATCAAAGCAAAGGGCAGCTATTTTGGAGAATCTAAAATATAAAAATGTTTAGAGTTATTTCATGCTTTTTGTTCACTACATAACTCCATGTGTGTTCATCCACAGTTTTGTTGCCTTGGGTGAGAATATTCAATTTAAATAGTTTTGAAAATAAAGAGACACGTTAAGTGAGTAAGTGTATCTAAGACCTTTGACCAGTAGTGTATTTAAATTATTTTCTCTGCTGCCATCTTCAGAACCAGGACTTAGGATATGCTTTTGTCTCTTTTATGTGGGAATGATGAACATCAGAGTAATATCAGAGTGATATCCGGTGTAATCATGAGGAAAAGACAGGACATGCTTAAAGGAAATTCACTTTGGGAGAATCCTGTGAGTGATGCTTAAAGTTTTATGGCAGTGAGGAGACGAAGAGGAAGCAGCAGCTGCTTTTTCATATTTGACAGTAACAGCTTCTCAGCAGAACAGCCCTCCCATTAGAGAGAGGCCTTCCATTGCCTCGAAGCTATTCTCGCATGTGCATACTGGTCTGTTTAGAGGAGAGCAAGCATGTCTGTTTGGGTTCGTACTACACCTCTAAGTGAAAGCTGGCATTTTAAATTATTCTCTGCATCTTTTGTAGCTTGATTCTTGTACATACTCGAAGCTGCTTTATGAAATTTAACAAGGCTGCCTCTTTGTTATGGAGAGGCTGGAGTGGGTAGAAAATTACCTTGCTGAACACGGCACACACTAAGCGTTTGTTCTTTTGCTCTTTCAGCATTTGATAATCAGCTGCAGAAACAATCAGAATTGGAAACGAGATGCCATAGAAATGTATGCCTTTGAAATAAAAAAAATACATATAATAATCTCTTCTTCTAGCCCTGTCCATACACTACTCTGCTAGCAGTTAGATACGATGATTAATTAATAATGTGCTCTCGCTAATACCCCCGCAGTCCTGTCTTGTATTGTCTGGTCGGCAGGGAGAAAGCTTCAGTCACACTGCATCAGCTTCCTGCTACTTTGGGTTGCCGTCAGGTCAGTCCAACAGAACCTGTTCAATAATTCAAAACCGGCACTGGAGGGCTGGGACCCACATGTCGCGCACAATGAGAGAGCACATGACACTAAACTTCAGCTGGGTGCTCACAAATCATCATCAGCTGCTGATGCGTCATGAACCTAAATGACCTGAGATGAGCTTAGAGAGATAAATTAGGTCTGAGGGTGAGAGGAGTGAGAACCGAAGATATTTAGTTTGAGGATGGCAAAGCTATTTTTATCAAATTTTTAAGCAGTGTTCCAACAATCAAAGGAAAAGTTGGGAAAATTGGTGCATGAGAAATATTACTTCCAACACTGTTTTACTTATAATTTTTGTTTTGGTCTGAAATGACTGATGTTAGCAAAAAGTAAATAAATAATGGTCTGAATGCCGCACTTGCTGTGAGAAACACTTCACTGCTCATTATGGGGTCCAGCATTTTCATACGCAGCAGCACACTTTCTTTAATCATTCTGCTGAGCAACCATACAGGCCATGGGCACAAACAAATGCTGCTGTTTATGGAAAATTTATAATCATTTAAAACAAGGCTGCTTATTTTATTGTTTTTTTGCTCTCTATTAAATATCAAGAGATGCCTGGTAAACAAGATCCTACCAAAACATTGTTGACCTTAGCAAAATTTCAGAAGATAATAGATCTGCAAAAGCACAACACCTGAAAACAATGTATACAAACATCAGTTTAAAAAAAGAAAAAAAAAATCCCCAAAAAGTTCTACTCAAACTCAAATACATGTTGTAAATGTAACGAAGCAGACACACCTCTGATGACTTTGACCTATCACTGTCTTTTGCAGGTCACTTCAGATGACTTCGTACGACCATAGGTTATGTGAAAGCAAATGCTTATCCATGCAGGTGGCAGCCTGGTATATGTCAAAGACCTTGTTACGTTGTTAGTGTATGCCACTATATTCCTACTAAACCAAATGTTTACTCACACTATACAGAAAGACACATAATCGCTTTTACTAACTCTGACATCAAATCAGAATGAAGTTTTCCTGTCTTATGTACATTTTCCGTGGGACTCAAATCAGGGCTTTGTTATGTCCTCTCCAAAACTTTGCTTTTGTTATTTTTAAGCCACTTGGTAGCTAGTTTGGTGGGATGCTTAGGGTCATTGTCCATTTGGAAGATCAACATGTGCACAAGAAGTTCCTGACTGGTGTCTTGCAATATTCCTGTAATATTTCTACGTTATGTTCTTGCCTATGATGTTACCTATTTTGTGCATCAGTCCTTCCTGAAGCAAAACACCCACCACCATCCTTCACAGTTGTGTTGTTGTTGGTTTAAGGCTGGCGACTTTCTCCTGTTTTACTTGAAATATAATGATGGTCATTATGCCAAACACTTATAATAATAAATACTGAAGGTCATTGTCCCTGTGGGCATTTGCAAACTGTAATCTGGTAATTATGTTCAATTCAATTAAATTTTATTGATATAGCTCCAATTCACAACACATACCGTCTCAAGGCACTTCACAAAGTCAGTTCAATCGAATCATACAGATTTCAAGTCAGGGACATACATTCCAATTAATCCTAACTATCGAACAGTACAGTCAGATTCAGTTATTTATTCAAATTGGTTAAAAAGTTTTTCTATCTAAGGAAACCTCTTCCTGGAGAGAATGCCAAGAGCACAAAGCAGTAATTTCAATCCTGTAGAGACTCACAATAAGAAACACAAAATGCGATTAGAGAAGTTACACAATGGATGTTTATTTGTTTGGCGCTCAGACCCCAGAAGAAGACATGAATGCTGATAATGCATGAACTGATGAACGTCTTAGGATTAGAATTAGAGTTGTCTTCCCC